CTTCATTTAATTCAAAGCCATGTTTAGATAAAATCTCTGAAATACTTTTTTCTACTTGTTTCATCCATTTTTTCATAAATATTCTTGATTGTTTACGTTCTAATAATAATAATAAATAATGATGAATAAAAGAACCAAGAATAGGATGAAATTGATATCCAACTTTTCGAGTTGTTACAATTAATTGATTTCCACCAGTTATTTTTGGTGATTCTATTTCATAATAGATTTTATTCTGACTATTGTGTATGACATCATCAAATGCAGAACAAAACTCTGGTGTAGAAATAAATTCATTGATGAATTCTTTTATCAGATCAACAATTTGACCTCTTCGATGAATATCATCGATCTCATCGAGTCCATCTAAAAGAATCAATGCATGACCATGATCGATAAATTCACCAAAGAGATTTTCTTTCTCATTAGAAAGATTATTTATATAATCATATAATGTTTTAGATTGATTTTCATAAAGCCATCTGGAAAATTCATTTAAACGAATTAAAATTGGAAAACGATTTGGAACGTAATGATTTTCATTTAAATTTACTTGTTCATCATTGTTAGAAATTGCTTCAGCAAAGATACACAATATCCATCGAAGAAGTGTAGATTTTCCACTTCTTGGATCACCTAAAATAACAATCCATCGATCATATTCTAAAAGTGTTTCAATTGTTTTTGATTCACCAAATCCAGACAATTCACTTTCAATCGAAGGAAAAAATGTGTTTGAATCACGATTGGCTGTTCGACATAGTTCAATGTTTGTACTGAAATGATCTTCAATATCTGCTAATAAATGTTTTGAACAATCAATTTTTATATCAATGCGTTGTAATTGTTCTTTAATTGATACGTCATTTAATTGACAATTATCAAGGACAAAGTCATTGATATTTTCTATCAAATCGTCGATTTGTATTTTTGAATAAACATAAATACAATTATGAAGATATTCATTGATGAATTTTGCTTTTTCATTTACTAATTCTTTGAAAGTCTTTCGTTTTTCAAATTTCTGTTGAAATTGTTTTTCACGTTGCATTCGTTTCTTCTCATTTGTAATTTTCTTCAAAAAATTATTCCAATTTTCCCCCATACTTGTTTCACCATTCGGCCCTTTGAGCGCATAGATTATATCATCGTATAGATTAATCCAATAATCTTCCAGAAGTTTTTTATTAGTGCTCATTACACGATCTAATTGTCGACAAAATAATTCAGTCCATTCATTTTCTGTTGAGTTTAGTTTGATAAATAGATCACGAATATCCATTAAAGTATGTCCATGCACGACAAGTTTCAATGTGTCTTTTTCTAATAGATAATCGATTGAGTTTATTGCACGTGCAATTATCTCACTCATGTCTTCTCCAATGATAAATGAAAATCCTTTTCGCACGAAAAAACGAACAGAATTAATCTGTTTTTGAGCCAATGATCATTCTCAGCGAGCATTTAATCCACCAATCCAAAACGAACATGGCCTCTTTAATGCAATCTATATATTCGTGAAGATGTCAGCATTGTATTAACGGGGTGAGTAGTGTAGAAGTCGTTAACTCGATTCGAGTATTAAAACTTCCTTCGAATTCGAAGCTTCAAGTTTGAAGTTCTAAGTTAGTTAAGGTTACATTTGAAATCTTTGCAGGCAGATGCTGCTGCAGGATGGTTTGGCGGCGGATGAGCGAGAGATTTTGTGTTGTTTCTGCGTGCTGTAGCCTACACTACGCTCTGTGTCATCGTCGCTTAGTTTTGTAGCTTAGAATACCCTTTCGTACGCCGCACTTTTTTGTATTTCCTGGAGCGCAGTGCCCTAAGCGCTCCGCTTGCTCTGTAGTCTATAGTACTTTGTCGCCCTGTCACTTGGCTGCGTCGCCGGGAATGTTAGCCGCTATTCCCTCACTGTTACGTGTACGCTGGAACACCCTCCGCTACACCCTCGCCCTATTCCACAACCCAAAAGCAATGCACGAGCATCAATCAATCTAAATTTTAAAAGTTTAAAACTCGAACTTCGTTTTCGAGTTATACATGTATGGTTCCAAGTAGAACTCGGTGAGCTCTATCTATTCCAAAAGAATATTCCCGGAAATACGTATCCTTCCTTACCCATGAAAAATGCAAAAGCTCGGAAAAATACCTAAAAAACATGAAAATGTCAAAAAAGCAAGCACGTATTCGTTTTTTCACTACTAACCATCATTCTAACACTTGTTCCAGATGCATCTCGATGCGCTCTATCGATTTCAATCATAAAAAAAATTTTCACCCACCCACACCCTCACCCAACACCCAAACTCATCCGAATCTCCATAAACTCCTGCTTTGATATACGAAGTCTCATAGGTGATGTTTCTTGATGAATTTGCACAGGTCTTACTGCGTTTATTGTATGATTCGGATGAGTTTGGGTGTTGGGTGGGGATGGGTGAAAATTTTTTATGATTGGAATAGATAGAGCTCACCGGGTTCTACTTGGGACGAATATGATCAGAGTTGGAATACACTTGCGGGCGAATTCGTTCAAGAAAAGGTCGAATCCGTGTCCAAGATATCTTACATATATGTTTATAGAAAAATTAATTACTGAGCGAATCTGTGCAAAATCCGTCGAAATACGCTATTAATTGTTTTGAAGTTATCAAAACAAATGACGGGTCTTTTGACATTCACTCATTCCGCGAAATCTCATACAAAGAAATTTCCAACAAAAATTATGACGAATGTTTATTATATTTCTTTAACAAAACACTTGAAGAGAGCGTTGCTTGCGTCATGAAAATGTTTCATAGTTACTAGGGTGAAAATTTGAAATTTTTCTCGCTATTGAAAAATGCAGTACGCTATCGATTTTATTCACATTTTGTGATCTACATGCTGTTGTAAAGTGAGCGAATAAAGGTCAGTTATTTAATAGAAGGAATTATATTACATTATCTATTGTTTCAACCATTGTAACTGTTCATCGAAAAGCTTTGGTATCAAATTGAGATTCGTCTAATATTTGAAAGAAATTTTTATTGAAGAGAGAATGAATGTTTATTTGATGCGGAATGATCTATATGAGTTAGAAAACTAAAACAGAAAACAGAAAAGCTAAGATTCTAAACATGATGTCAATAGAAAAGCAATATTCATACACTGTCTTGTTACTTGACTTTGCTATGAGATGACGTTATACTAGTTATGCAGTCAAGTCTGTCATATGATATATGATTAGTGTTATCTCATTTTAGACCAAAGTTTTGAAATAACAATGCAGTTATTTTCGAATTTGTTCATCATTTCTATGATGTTGATCTCACTTCTCAAAGTGAATAATGCTCAATGGTGTGGTGCAGGAAGCTATTGGACCATCGATGCGAATACCTCTACTCAAATTTGTGTACCTTGTCCAACAGGTACCTACCAACCAAACTACGGTCAATCTTCTTGTTACACTTGCCCTGCTGGTGCTTATTGTATATTTGGAAGCGCATATTTTACACCCTGTCCTTCAGGAACGTATCAACCAGTGACAGGTGCACAATCGATTGATGCGTGTCAGAATTGTTCTGCCGGTAGCTACGCACAAAATACAGGACAATCTAGCTGTTCAGTTTGTCCTAATGGTTACTACTGTCCAGCTGGAATAAGCAATGCCATTCCGTGTCCTATAGGAACATATCAACCATTTGTAGGTGCAACGTCAATCGATGCTTGTCTCAACTGTTCTGTTGGTACTTACACACAAAATACAGGACAAGTTACTTGTTCGATTTGTCCGACTGGTTTTTATTGTACAGCTGGTTCTCTCTATCCAACTCCATGTCCTGCGCAAACCTATCAACCAATTCCAGGAAGTGTCACAGTAAATGCATGTTTATCATGTCCAAACGGTACATACACGACAACGTCAGGACAATCGAATTGTTTTGTTTGCCCTAACGGATACTATTGTCAAGGAATAATCAATGTCAGTCAAGCATGTCCTACAGGTACTTATCAATCAACAGTGCGTACTGTTTCAATTCAATCTTGTTTGAATTGTCCTGCCGGGACTTATAATTCATACAATGGGCAATCAATCTGCTCGATTTGCCCTATTGGTTATTATTGCCCAAGTGGATCAAATAGCTCTCAACCATGTCCCATAGGAACCTATCAACCTTATACAGGCGCTATTTCTTCACAGTCTTGTTTAAAATGTCCCGATGGTACCTACAACTTCATGACTGGACAATCAAGTTGCACTCCATGCGCAAGCGGTTACTATTGTCCACCTGGAAGCAATAGTATAAAGCCGTGCCCTTCTGGAACCTATCAGCCAATTATACGTGCCACCTCCTCTGTATCGTGTTTAAAATGTCCCAATGGTACCTATAGTTCAAATCTTGGAGCATCTAGTTACACCATCTGTCCTGTTGGATATTATTGTCCAAGTGGAGCAAGTAATTCAATTCCATGTCCATCAGGTACCTATCAACCAATTCCCAGAAGTATTTCGGCTCTCGCCTGTTTAAAATGTCCAAATGGTACGTTGAATTCCGATATTGGTAAATCGAGTTGTGATATCTGTCCTGTCGGCTTTTATTGTCCAGCTGGCTCAAGTAGTAAACAATCGTGTCCTTCAGGTACTTATCAGTCGATTGAAGGTAGCAGTTCAGCTGAAGTTTGTTTGAAATGCCCTAGTGGTACTTACAGTTCCAATCCTGGACAAGCGAACTGTCGGACGTGTCCTCCTGGTTTTTATTGTGGAAGTGGAGCCAGTGCTCCACAAGCATGTTCTGCAGGCACTTATCAACCGATTCCGGGTAGTTTCTCGATCAACGCCTGTTTACCGTGTCCTAACGGCACCTACAATTCAAATACTGGCCAATCTTTTTGTCCTACTTGTCCCAGCGGATCGTACTGTCCCGATACGTCCGGCAACTCGATTCCGTGTCCTTCAGGCACCCATCAACCTTACACAGGTAGGTTTACTGCTCAAGATTGTTTAGTTTGTCCTGCTGGTACATACAGTCAACTTCCTGGACAGTCGCTCTGCTCAAGTTGTCCAGGTGGATCTTATTGCCCAGCTGGATCAAATAATCCACTGGTCTGTCCTGTGAATACATATCAAACAACTGTGGGTGCTGTTTCAGCTCAATCTTGCTTAACATGCCCATTCAATAACGTTGCTCCAAACATTGGATCGACTTCGTGCTATGATTGTTCGAATTATAATTGGTATTATTATGGTTACTGTTCGAATGTAGCAAATTTTACATCACAATGTTCTCCAGGGATGTATAAAACCATCGATCCGACCAATTCTTCACAAGTTTGTTTAAACTGCACAGCTGGTACTTACAATCCAAGATTTGATCAATCAAGTTGCATTATTTGTTCTGCTGGTTCTTATTGTGAAGTTGGATCAATAAACGCACAGCCATGTCCTTCCGGAACCTATCAACCAATTACCGGTGCTCTATCAGCACAAAGCTGTTTAAGTTGTCCTGCCGGTACCTACAATCCAAATAATGGTCAATCTACTTGTGTCGATTGTCCGTCTGGTTATTACTGTCCATCTGGATCTAGCAACATGTTACCGTGTCCTGCAGGAACATATCAACCTATTGTCGGTAAATCTTCGTTTCAAAGCTGTTTGAAATGTCCTAACGGCACCTACAATCAAAATGCGGGCCAAACAAACTGTTCCAAATGTTCAACTGGTTACTATTGTCCAGCAGGATCTAATAACATGCTTCCATGTCCTTCAGGAACGTATCAACCGGTTGCAGGAAAATCCTCATTCGAAACTTGTTTACAATGTCCAGCCGGTACTTATAGTCCATCTTCTGGACAGTCAAGTTGCTTAGTTTGCTCTAGTGGTTATTATTGTACAACTGCGTCAAGTAGTATGCAAGCATGTCCTACAGGAACATATCAAACTTATACCGGTAGTACTTCAGTTCAAGCTTGTTTACAATGTCCTGCTGGCACATACAGTCCTACTCCTGGTCAGACAAGTTGTACCGTTTGTCCGAATGGTGCTTACTGTCTGGCTGGAGCAAGTAGTGTACAATCTTGTCCTACAGGAACTTATCAACCAATTCCACAACGTACATCATCTGACGCTTGTTTAGCATGTTCTAACAATGCTAATAATCCTATTCTTGGACAACCTACTTGTGCTCGTTGATCTAATTCATATTCTTTGACTCATTCATACAGTGTGTTCTTCAAATCCTTTCCTATAAGTTTTTGACAATATTTTTTCCATATCCAGTATTTTTTTCATTTCAAGAAAAACGCATCAACTTCTTATTCATACAACATTTTTAGCAAAACATCCTACAAAGTTTCCTTGAATTTCCGAGAGACGAAAAGAGTATAATCTTATGATGTTTATATATCAATTTTTGATCTGTTTTGAATGAGCATATTCACGACAGAGAGAAAATTGGCACATGAAATTTTCACAATCTAATAGTAATTTAGATGAACCTATTGAAGCATCGAATAATTTATGTAATGAAAAGGGTTTTGGTGCGAGATTTATAGTATCCATTTCATCTCATTCTAATTGTTCATCGTAATAATAGAATACAAACCTGTTAAGTACCACAGTTTGTTCTTTACAATCAACGCCTTATTTTGATTGTTGTAAATAAAATAATATGAGTTTTTATACTCTTGGCATCTAATGTCCAATTTTTGAATGATGGTGTAATCACATAAGATATCTTAGCGTCTGATTCGATATTTTTCGGCATTTATTCGTTCAGATGGGCATTTTCACTTTGATCTCCATAGATTTCAAGTAGAATTCGATGGGCTCTGTCAATTACAATCATAAAATTTTTAGTGCTTATCCTCATCTTCACCTGTTGAAAGTTTCCTTCATCATAGAGATATTGGACATGTGTACAATGAGAAATTATTGATCATTTTGATGTTTTATGGATAAATATCGATGATGATCTTTCTGAAAATATTTGAAAATCATTTTTTTGAAATTATATGAAAAGAAAAAAAGAAAAAGTTTTAGTGTATGTCGACATATTGCTGCATCAAATTTTGTTTTTTCTCCAACATATTCTATACGAAGCGATCTTTCATTATAAATAAGAAATCAATAGAAGAAAGTCATTTCTGTTTTCTATTCTATTTCATATAGTTGCGAACGAACAAGAAGATTTTACGTCACTTTCTGCAACAATTTACATTTATTCAGGTTATCCAAATCTTCATTGGGAATGAATATTTGATGAATGATCACGTTTTTGCTGCACATTCTGCTTTTGTATCAAATTATTCAGATATTTATCACCTGATACAAAGACAACAAACTATTTTATCAAATCCTGATCAATATTTTATTTATAATCATCAAGACAAAATTATTGAAAAATAGCTCAAGGATTCTGTAAATAATCTGTCATGGTGTTCCAATTCTTATATTTACATAATTCTTTTTAAGTAGAAAGAGATGTTAAAGATATTGATTGTGATTGTGAATAAGACTTCTTATAACTCCAGGTCTTTTTTTCTTAATTGATTCTATACGATCGAGAATAGGAAAAGAAATATTCAATACAGATGAATAAAATTCTAACGCGTGAATTTTTATTTCTCTTTTTAAATTCTTTTCTTACAAATTCCGTGATTGCTCATACAAATATAATTCATATGTGAAATTATTTTATAAAGAAATCTTTTAATATCATTTTTTCTTTTCTTTTAAATAAAACTAATGGAAATGGTTTAAATAAACTTTGTGAATGAAATCATATACAAATTGTTTGTATGTGATCGATATGAAAAATAATCGTGTGTTGAAATTTCCCCGAGAACAGATGAAGAAATTATTTGTGAATATACTTTTAAGAATTTGTTTTATTTATATTTCGATAATCAACGAATTCAATTATTTTATATGATAATATGATGATAAATAGACTTATTTATGATGAATTTTTGTATTTTGTGAAGATAATCGTATATTGAATTAAATTTAAGAATAAAAATAAACTCAATGTCGTTCGAAATATTAAAAAAATGAATTCAATTCTTGATAATGCACTGAAGTAACGATTATCAATAAATAGAAAAGAAAATATTTCTGAAATCATTAAATTCTCTTTTCTTCTTTTTAACATAAAAGAAGCATTTAATCGAATTCATTTTCTGAGTATATATCAAATCATATCAATTGTATGATCTATATGTTTTTCACTACAAACAATGATTCTCATATTCAATCACTTATTAGTAATGAGTTTAACAATAATACACATATTCTCAGTATCTTTTTTGGGATATGATAATCTTTCCTTTGATAAAGAAATAACTTATCCAGTGGAATCATATTCATCTCAAAATTCGTTAGCTAGTGATGATTTTAATAATCATACTTATCTAGATCTAGTAATTGCAAATTACAATACATCTACTATAACTATTTTTCTAATAAGTAGGGATGCTTTATTTATCAATCAGACATTATATTCTACTGGTTCGGATTCATTTCCAAGTTTAATTTCTGTGAATCATTTCAATAATGACGCGAAATTAGATATTATAGTTACTAATCCTGATAGTAGTACTTTAGGTATGTTTCTTGGAAGAAATGATGGTACATTTGAAAATATGATTATCTTCTCATTTGCATATGGATCTCATTCATTTTCAATTATCGTTGGCGATTTTAATGATGATCACAAATTGAACTTTGCCATTGGAAATGTTGACAGTAACACTTTAGATATTCTTCTGCAGACTTGTTGATTTCGTAATCATTGTCTTTATATTTGCGTCGAATCTAACAATTGTACAGACATACAGACGCTAAATCAAAGATCGTAGTAGAAAATGCACATTCATTTGAAAATTCTCGATTAAGAAATGTATTTTGGCGACATAATCATGTTTAATAAAAAAATTCTAGGGTAAGAATGACGAGCTGAAACTTGCAAAGTAGCTGAAAAATAGTCCGTGGACATGTTTATCTAGATACATTTGAAGTATGGGAATGAAAAGTTAATGTTATGGCGAAGATTTTTGTAGTGCGAAGTGATACAGTTTGAGTTCATTTCTCACTGAATGAATTCATATGTCCTATTCGATTCAAGTTTTCTTAGTGAAATTCTTCTCACGGTTCGGTTAAGAAATCAAGATGAAATCTTTTTTGTAAATTTCTAATTGTCATCCCTGATGTTGAGTACAATTTTAATCGAAATCAAGTACAAATTTTTGCACTCGACTATTTCCATTATCACTAACAATAAGATTTCCTTGACTATCAAATAATATATCGTTGGGTTCATTTAAGTAAACTGACCATCTTCCTTTACCATATTCATTAATAATAATTTCGCCTTGTTTTTCTCCTTCCCGCCATCGTAAAATTCGATGATTTTCCGAGTCGGCAATATACAATTGACCTAATCGATCCATTGCTAATCCTTGAGGTTTTTCTAAGAAGTTTGGATTTATTATTCCATTGAACATAATTCCTTCTGTTGCATTTTTTACCCATTTCATTATACGATTATTCCAAGTATCTGATATATAAATAGTATAATTGTCATCAATTAGAATAAAACCTGGATTCCAGAGTTGATCAAGTCGACTCCCTTGACCATTTCCACCTGCAACTGTTGTTCCATTTTTCTCTCCTTGTTTCCATCGTTTAACACTATTATCCTTTTGATCAACAACATAGAGAGATCCATCTTTATCTAATGCTAAACTAGAGCATTCAACATCAGTAACGATAATTTGTGGATCTGTTTTCTTCTCGAGAAACCAACGAATTACTCGATTATTAGAAAGCTCACAAAGAATTAAAGAATTATTATAATATTTATCAATAATAACATCTTCCAGATGATTGAATCCATCACCAAGATCACCATCAAAACCCCCATTAACAATAATTTCGCCGCTATTTGATCCAATTTTCCATTTAACAATACAATTTTGGATATTATCAGTAATATAAATATTATTATCATCATCGAGAGATATTCCTTTCGCAGAATATAATTGCTTTCCAAACTTTAATCCTCCAGCAATTGTTATTCCTTTTTTTTTCCATTTCATTTGTTTTTGAACTAGAAAAAGTATATATACTAATTCACAGTAAAGTCATAGTTATATTGAACATACGTGTTGTCGCTAATGTTCTTCCTATCGATTGTATTGTTCGAATTTCTTCGACATTTGCATTTTCTGGTATTATAATAATGATTGGAATAATTAAAGTAAGAATCGAAAGCGAAGCCAAAAATATAATCCATAAACTTTTCTTTCTTTCAATTGTATTAGAACTGATAATAGTTATCATTTGAGTGTTCTCGACTTCCATTAATTGGTTCTACAAGAAAAAAAAATGAAATCTATATTAGAAAAAAAAATTTCGTTTTTGAAGAATAATTTGATGTACGACATGAGATATATTGAAGAAAAATAGAAAAATAAATTCTTAATTGATTACAAGTTAAAGACAATAGGAAATAATAAGCTGACATGTATGAAAGCAAATTTCTGTTTGGACTGTTCACTAAGCAATTCGACAGACAATGACACATATTTAATGAGAAGTAAAATTATTGATGTCAATTGAACAACATTGACATGTATTTAATAAGATAATAGCATCAGTAGGCCGACTATTCAAGACAACGATATTTTTATGACCATTATCATTGAAAATAGTAGTCATGGTACTATATTGAGAACTTCCAGGTTTAAAACTTTCATGATTACCGATTGATCTGTATTGAAAATATCCGTTTTTTGATCCCATTAATGCAACTATATCATATGAAAAGACATTACCAAGAATAATATCTAAATATCCATCACAGTTGAAATCTATCACAGCCATTGGAGTAGCTTTTTGACTATTGTTAATCATATATTTCTTTAAAGTACTGAAAGTTCCATTACCAAATCCATACATAATGGCAACTATTGTATCTTGATAAGAAAAAACAATGTCTGAATGTGTATCATTATTTAGATCCGCAAGAAATAGATCGTCAGGTTCAGAATCGTATCCTGGAGAAAAAATAAAACTTTGATTAAACTTAAGATTATTATCTCCTAAATAAACCACAATATCATTCGCACGTCTAAGAGTAATTATAATATCTAAAGATCCATCATGATTTAAATCATTGATTGCCAAGGATGATGGCCAACTGTTTTTTTCACAATATAGTACAGTGTGTTGAAAAAACTTTTCAGTACCATCTCCAAGGAACACACGAATTACATAATTCTCTTCGTTTCGACTGATAATATCCAGATAACTATCATTATTTAAATCTATTAACATTAAAGTTCTTCGGTGACCGCTTGATAATGGTAATGTGTTAACTTGTTTAAAAGTTAGATTTCCGTCACCAAATAATATTCGCAATTCATTTTTAGGAGTATCTAAACCGATTAGATCGATATGTCCATCGTTATTAATGTCACCCCACGTCATACTGAACAACTGATGATCATGTTCTAATGGATGAATTTTTTCAGTTTTAAATAATTCATCGTCAGATGAGATTAATATATGAATAGATCCAGTACTTTCACAATAGAAGAGCAATTCCGATCGAGAATCATCGTTCAAATCTGCAGAAATTAATGCATATGCTTGACTACAAGTAGATGTTTTCAACTGTATTGTCACCGCCGATATTGGACAATGTAACACTATAAGGAAAGGATTGATTTATGAACACGTGGTTTGATATCAAACCATAAATATAAATTTACACACCTTCTGTAGATGTTATTGTATCGATCATTGTTGTTGTTGTTGTCATTATTGATTGATATTCTGTCGTGATCATATTTTGATTTATCATTACATTTGACGACGATACTAACAAGTAAACAAAAAGAAATCATTTGTTAACTATGCTAAGAACATTTCATTTCAATACTTTTAAATGTAAGAAAAATTGAAAAATGAATAATAAATATTGTGAGAAATATGAATACGAAACAAACATTGATAAATTTGAAAGAACATTGAATATTTCGAATAAGAGGTTTTGTTCTAAGGCAAGAAATAAAGATAAGAATTGTTTGCAATCAACGAAAATAAGTACTTATCACGTGTTGCAGTAGTTGAATCTTGAGAATCAATTCTATTCGATCGTTTCTTTCGAGATGAATAAATTTTCATAAGAATTTGAATTATTTGTGGACAAATCCATTTTAAAACAATTTTTAAACCTCCTTGAAAACCAAGTAAAAATGTAATTAATTCAAATAAATCAAACCGCTTATTATAAGTATAAGAACATAATGATGGTAAACATTGATTGAAATACAATGAATAATTGATATTTTTTGACCAAGACTCCACAAATAAATCATTGATTAACTCATGAATTGTTTTATTTATTAAAGATTCATTCTTTGGATAAGAAAGTGATGAAATATTAAAATGAGACGAATTTGAATATTGTTGAATAAGATTTAAACATGTTTGATTGAAGAAACATTGAAGTGTGGATTGAAGAAATGATTCACTTGGTAAACAACCCATTTTTAAACCTTGAATTCGAATGAAATCTGATGAATTCTTTTCATTATAGAAACCAGCTTGAGTTGTACAAGTAGAAATTAATCCACAAGTACAATTTTGATCATAAATCATTGCTTCTGTTGGAACATAAACTTTATCAAAATGATTCCAAGGAAAAATATATTTATAATTTGATTGATATTTTGATATAAAAGCATTTCCATGATAAATAATTCGAATTAATGAAAGAATATTAAGAAGTAGATGTGGTGCCTTCGATTTTGTTTGTTCAATAAAATTATTTATATGACTATGAAAGTCTTTTTCTTCGAGAAGTTGTGCTGTTATTAATAATGTTGAATGAAATTGATCGACGAGATTTTGGATAATTTCTATTGAATTTGAACATAAACCTTGAAGATATTTTATATGTGCTAAGAGAAAAAGACGATAATCATTCTTTTTCCAAAGAAATATATCAGAAAGGTGATTTTTTGTCAGATTCATTTGCCATTCATCGAAAACAACTTGACGTTTACAAATCTCAAATTATAAACAAAATAAATTCGTTACGATAATATATTTTTAAAATTAACTTTACCTCATGATATTCGGGTTGAATTTGAACAAATGTTTCATATTTCGATGCAATGTTTGAACATGAACATTTGAATTTTTTACCATAGATTTTTATAAGATGATGATATTGATTAAATTGCGGTTGATCAAATGTTTTTGTAATAGATTTTGATTGAGTAACATTATAAAAAATAAATATAATATTAATAAGAAGGAATATACTAATATAAAGACGAGTTGACCATCGGCCCAGATTCTGAACTGTTACTCGACTACTATTACTATTAAAATCTCGTACAAGAAATATATTCAAATTTAATAAAAAGCCAAATAAACTTGATAAAACTTTTCCAATCTTCGTTTTTAACCGATCAAAAAGTTTCAAGTGAACCGCATCTAAATATAAATATATGAAGTTGACGGTGAGGGTTTAGGGAATGGATGTGGAGTTGTTAGAGTGACATCGTGCAAGAGAGATATTCTTTCTCATCTTCCATCTTCTTTCCTGAGGGTGTGGAGGGAGTAGTTGAATGAATGAATTCCAATTTCCAGTTCGACACTACTGGTCTTCCTGACTACGCCACTAACTTGTGTCCTCGTCCTGTTAATTATCATATATAAAAGTCAATATATACCTGCTGGTTCGTCTTGTCTCTGTTCTTGTCCTTCTGTTTGTTTTTTACAAATTCGTTTCCATAAATGAAAAACTAATTTAACAGAAACTGATGCACCTAAACGCACTCCAATAATGACACTACCGATCATGGATATTAATAATGTTATTGCTTCAAAGAAATTTTTTGTACGAATTCGTTTTGCATATGTACAATGAGTTGGTGCACAGTTTTCGTACAGATTTTTGTATGAGATTGATGAATTCCAATTTTCGACCATAATCTCATCAAGTACATCTTTAATTAATGTATTCGGATAGAAACGATCAATTGTTGAATTGTAAATAAGAAAACGAGGTTCAAACCAATCAATCTGTGGGCTGGATAAAATAAATAATGTTTTTACACTACGTACTAAAAGTGTTAAACAATTCGTTGAATATAAACATTCCAAAGTTGACGATGTAAGAGAATTTAGTTGAGAACAACTTTGTTTCCATCCAGGTAGAGAATAAGAAACTTCGTAAGTGGAATCTGCGTTCGAATTATAATCATAGTTATATATAGAAGCTAATGTTTCACAACGAGGATTTATAATACAGACACAATCAGCAAATGTTGAATTAGTGTCATTGTGTTGTGCGAAACGAAATATAAACTAGATAGAAAAAATAATGATGTTCATGTACAAATTCAGATTCTAATCTTAACTAAACTTTTCCTCAAAATAGACACCCTCACCGCTTTGAACTATAAGTAACTTAACTTACATTCAACAACTTTGTATCATTAGTTTCATTTGGTACACTTTCTGCTATTAAATTTGAATGAAATGGAAGAATCAAATTGCCTGGTGTCATATAAGGTTGATCAACATTTTCAAGAAGTTGCCCTACATCGCTCAGACGAATAAAATTGAATTTAGTTGAGTGAAAAAACTGTATGAGTGTTTGATTAAATTGTGTGAAAAATTCTATTTCACTCAATAGATTCGAACTAATTAATGGTTCCATCATAAATCGATCAATAGCATCTTTGACAATTTCATTTGCTAATTTACAAAGATCGGATAAAAATTGAAATTGTGATAATGCTATGTTACGCCAATCTAATGAAACATATGGATGTTTAATGATTTTCAATACTTCAATCCATCTTTTATCAACAAAATCACTTTGACATACACGATGAAATGTTGGTACTAGCGAAACAATTACAGAATAAGGTGTCGCCATGGTAAAACAAGAACATTTCAATGTTCTAGAGTATAGATTTTGTAATTCACTATATCTAACCAATGATGGCTTTTCTTCGGTTATTATCATCATTTCATGATGAAATGAAGTAAATAAAAGGATAATCAATAAGCTGCCTATTGTGAGAGAAAAGCAACAGTTATTCATAAATATCACAAATGAAATGAAATACCCGTTAGTAAAATTATATAAACAAATGTAATGGTCCTTTGTTGTTTAACATCATTTTCTGCTCGTGCATTCGGATCTTTGAACAAATTCAATACCCTAAGTGATCGAATTAGTTTCTGCTTAATGGTATTCTGTGCTGATACTACAATATATATCTAAGTTTTCGATAATTTATTGATGAAAATATATTTACTATGTTGCATTCTTTGCAATGGTCGATTCCGAAATTCTAAAATAATTTTGATTAAAAACATCGTAATAAAGCGAAGTACAATAATGAGACCGCCATAGATGCTAATAAAAAGAGTTGTTGTATAAGATGAATTCATTTGATATGTTTTTGTGTATGTGCAATGTAACGGAGAACATTTATTAAAATATGTTAGATCATTAATCTCTATTGACCAATTGGAAATGAAGAGATTAGATAAAAGATTGTTGAGAGGAATCATTTTTTCAGATAAAATATCATTAGTCCAATTTCGACGAGTCTTTAAATAAGAATAACTTTGAATTAAATTCGAGGATATCTATGTACATACTTGATTAAGATCTGGAAAATAATTCAACATGAATTTGAGACAATCTATGTCGTATAGACAATCAAGTTGACTATTACGAACAGCTTCCAAAACAGTACAACTGGTGAGAAAACCAGTAACTTGGTATTCTTCGAAAATACGTAAGAAAAGTTAGTACAAACTTCGATTATTTCTTGTCCGGATTCGTTTGAGGAGCTGTGCTGGGTCTCAAAATGAGAGTGAGGTTGGGAAGATGTTTTTCTCCGGTTACCCCTACTTCAATTACATCATTCGATAGACAATTAAATTCTCCGCTCAACACGAGCATTTTTAGACCAAGCACAATTTCACAAACGAATTCCGATAAGAAGCACTCGAATTTGTTGATAACTCCTCTTACCATCCAAAACTTTTGCCCAAGTTTCATGAGTTTCTATGTATGGATCATTGACATTATTGATTGAACTAAGACCAACTGTCTCATGTATATCTGCATAATTACAGAAAGTTAAATGCTTTCCCATGAGTAGATTTTTAGACGAATATGTTTTTTGTAGTGTAACATTAAAATGAAAGCCATGTTTGGAAATTGTCAAAAGACCATTTGTATTCAGAGCTGATATAACATAATGTGCTTCACTAAGTGTTTTCAAATAGTTAAGAAAAGAAACGATTTCAATCAATGAATTATTTTGAAAATATTCAATGACAGCGTCGACTTTGGATTTAATTTGTTCTTTTGTGTCAAGATGAGTACTTGCTAATTCATATCTGTCAATATCAATTAAACTCCAACCGATCGTATTCTTGGCGAGAGAACAAAAATCGGACAGAAATGTAAACTAAAATGATGAAAAAATCAGATCAAATCAAAGATTATAGCCTGTTGAGAATATTCTTTCTAGAATGTCAGAAATTTCAAAAAAGGCATTTCGCAAAAGTGAATTGAAACTTACAACATAACTGGCTGTTTTTCGGAAGTCATTCAGTTGATATCGATTTGCTATTGGCGAATACAGTGCTTCAATCCATTGTTTACTGATGAAAACACTTGAGCAGAGTGAATGAAGTGTAACAGTACTGTTAACAAAATCTCTCAAAGGTATTGTTGCTTTCGAACACGGACATAAAAGTGTTTGGTTATATTCTTCATAAAGTTGATTAAAACGAGAACGTGTTACTTCAGATATCATTATCGTTCGAATTTCTGATTTCGTTATCGTAAACGAGAAGAGAAAATAAAGGCAAACTAAAATAAAATGAAAACATGGGATTTATTATGATGGAAACATGAGTTGCCTAATTCGACTTATATTATAAATGGACATCTGATAGACTAATCTCATTTCGAATATAAATACATGTATATCTATATAAACCTAGGAGTTTAGGAATAGATAGGGATAGATTTAGTTATACATATGTATACCGATGGACACAGGCAGACAGAGGGTGTGGGTGTGGGCGTGGGGTGGGTGTTGAAGTAGAATAATTGAATACTCGAAGAGATAGTTGAATACTTGAATTCAACTTTCGAGTTTGACACTACTGTTACGCGCCGGATTCCCAACTTTTTAAAAGCCTGTAGGAGAAGTATTGTGCCATCGGCTTTAGTACGTTTCCCATTCATCTAAATCTTGTTACCCGCGCCGCTGGGTATCGACCAAACTCATTCAAATTACTCGTGTTGAGATATACATATCCCTGTTTTTTTAGAAGGGAGGAGTGTTGAGGTTAGATCTTGGTCGAGGGGGAGGTGATGGTTGGGGTCAAAGGTCAAAAAAACATTTTCTTGAAAAAGGCTCAAAACTTCATAAAACATGGTTTTGGGAGGGATCCTGAGGCTCGAGGTTGGCTGGATGATGGGTGAAGGGGCAGGGACGTGACAGAAATGAAGAAAACATTTCAACCGCGCCTGAGAGGAGGGCTACATAGAAGAGTTCATTACGAAAAAGTAAAAACACACTCGGTTGACTGTCGCATACTAAAGGCCAGTAATCCAAAAATACATTCACTCACAAGTTACGGACTGGAGAGCAATCTTAAATGCTGACCTTCGATATATTGAAAGTTTTTGTAGGCCTTTAAGCCTTTTGATTCAGGAGATAGCCTCAGATGTTCGGACGCGGATAATTTTATCTATGAGATGCTGATGGAATGCTAATTAATTTTCGATACTTTTTAGTAGCACACGGGTAATTATATGACAGATAGGGACAGCTTTGGAGCGGCGAGTTGTGAGTGGCGCCCCTGTGGGGCGCCGACGAACAACGAGCTGCGCCTGGTAATCTAGCCAGTTACCAAAGTATCAACAATCGGACACGTTCGAATGCGAAATCTATACCGAGTCTCATTTGGTCTTACTGAAATTATCTTTCTTTTAGAAAAAGGAGGATGTGTGTAAGGTGGAAATCCATAATAATCATTTGTAGCGAACTTCTGCTTCCTGTGAAGAGTGATTTTCAGTCAGGAATATCAAATAATTAAAAGGAACACAAGTAGTCTTTTGGTTCTTTTGAAGACTATGAGGCGAATAAAGATCAGTTTCTGGGGACCCCTTCAAAGGTTATACTTCTGTCTTTTTTTTCATAAAATGCATATAAGACTATTGTATTTTCAGTCAGTGGTTCAGTCGAGGGTATAGCGAGTCTGCTTCGACGAGCGTTACTAGTAAATATTAGGTAAAAATTTTCTCGATTCTTTGATGATATACATATTTGTCTCTCTCAATACAGCATGTAGATATGCTTCAGTGGAGTTTAAATATTGCACGGCGATGGAGTATAACTACATACATGCATATACTATGACGATTTTTTGTGGAGGAAGTACACGTGCTGAGAACATTACGCTTTTCTTTAGTTCTTCTATACAACAATCGTATAGTTATATATGTAATCATAAGGAAAAAGCCAAAGATGATAGAACGATATCATTGCATATGCTTTTGACTAGGAAAAAATAAACTAATCAATACTGAATCTGTATTTGTAATATAATTGGCATATATACGTTACATTTCAGTCTTGTATTAATTGTTAAAGTAATGTTTCTAGTAGTTCGGAATAAACAAGAAAAGATAAATGAGGAGATTGACATGAATAACGTCTTAAAGAAAATTTTGGAAAGTGAATGGAATTGGAGATGATTCTTATTCTTGATCATAACAGAAAGTTCGTAGTTCACTTTCATCTATACTTAATCGAAAATTAATGAAAAAATACAAAGAAATCTGTTGTCAGACGAAGAATAAAAGATTAGATTATTAATTTGTCTTTTCTTTTTGCTATAATTTACATTTTTTTCTCCATTTATTTTGATACACCAAATTATTTTAAAAAATTGCATTGAAATTATGATTACATACTCACATTCTCAATTGAAGAATTATCAAATTACAGATCAATAATACCATGTTTTGCTTTTAAAAATCTCGATTCCATTGAGTTGCAGGTCTAGTGTGATACGTGTCTGAGATAACATAAATAAATCTATTTATCAATTCAAGTTCTTCTTTATTCTTACTACAGATGTACACTGCAACAAAACTTGAGTATGAAATCGAACAATATAATAAATCATTATACTAAAAAGCATACATTATAATCATATGATATTACTTTCATTCATATTTATATTTACAATACACGTATTATTATCCAATATCATCAAAAAAGATTTGTAATAAATAAAAACAAGTACAATAAATTGGAATGTCGGTATATTTGTGAGCAAAATTGATTCTAACTGTTAAATTAACTGAAGATAATCGAATAAATTGATAAAAATCTCTCGTTCATAACGATCTTTCATTGTTAAATTTGTTCGCGATCCTGATAAAAATTGAACATTTAAATAGAAAAATGGTTGTAAAATATCACAATTACTCATAATACTAACACCGAATATATTTTTATTTCTTTCTGTTCTTTATTTATGACGTCAGAATAAGTCATGCGTGATTTCTTTGAGAAATAAATCTATCATTTGATATTTTTTCTACTTCGTATTTCGTATATTTTATCATGATAATCGCTCCATGGTTTTGTAATGGTTGTGGAAGACAAAATGGTGCTACACGATATCAATGTCAACATTGTCAAGGAATAGATACTTATGATTTATGTGATCAATGTATTTTACATACATCAACATTACATCCTTATCATAAATTTCATTTAGTACATCAACTTGGAACTGGTACATCTAATTGGGGAGGATCAGGACCGGTAGCCGTAATGCGTTAAAGACAATTATTCATTCATAAATTAAACTGTTTTTATCTTAAAAATAAATATTATTAACTTTCAATTAAATTTTGCACAGATCTTCGATATATTTTTGTTGATAGTTTTAGTACCAATTAAGTTGGCGTGCAACTTCTGAGACATTGGAAGAACCTTTTTTTCCATTTAATGATGATATACCAGCATTGTTTCTCAGTTAATGTATACATTTTCAATAAAATTAACAATAAACAGAAAACCCTCACACCCTTAATAAATAATCCGCATATACAGTAAAACCCCTTTTAGTGAACACCCCTCCTTAGTAATCACCCTGTTATACTGAACATCTTCCGGTCCCACCGAGTAAATTTTGCTGGTTTTGACCCCCTCCTTACTGATCACCTCGCGATTCTGAATTGTGAACACTTTTTTTCTGGTCCTGGCTGTATGAATCATCCCCTCTACTGTGAACAGCTATAGAGGGAGCCATTGATCTTAACAGCGATACAATGCGTTTGATTGGTTTATCGTATGATTGGTGAAATAAATAACAAAGAGAGAGAGAGAGAGAGAGAGAGTAAAGAGCCTATCAGATAGGCGTGACATTCGATTTTGTAGTCTTTGTTTATTGATTATGAACTGTTGATGATGGCATCACGTCGAGAACTTTGCCTGGACGACAAAGTGAAGCTAATAAAAGCCAAAGAATGCGGTTCATCGCACCGTGAACTTAGTGACACATTCCAGATATCGGTTGGAGCGGTTTCCAACATAAGGTGCACGCAATGCAAAAATCAAGTGAAATTTATTTTTACTTTTTTTTGCACATGGTTTTGTAGAGCGTGAGCTGCTGATCACGAAGGACTACTTTTTATCCTATTTTAAAGCTTTTTTGTAGTCAAAAATCTCAAAATCCCTGGAAAACCCGATTTCTCCCCAAAATCAGGTTTTTGGAGAAAATATTCAAAAACCACTAATTTTTAGTTATGAAAAGTTCTTGAAAATATGTTTTTCAGATTCAGCATCAAAAACTGAATCTAGCGAACACCATGGAATCATTATTATCTAAAAAATTTTTCAAATGGTGGTATTTCTCATATGTCCTATTACACTGCCAATAGGTGGATCTTGTAAACCTATCTACTTTTCGTAGGAAGGTGCGAGAGCCAATTTTTTTTTGTTTTAATCCTTATACTAGCCTCTACAAAAGTACGCATCGCTTTTGTTTTCATCTCTTTTCTTCGTGGAGAAAAGTTCACTTTACTGATGGTATAGGCAATCGGGGAGGTCATTCGGATATAACACATCCATTTTTCAGTCAAATCGAATGAAAATTTTTTTACAATGATAAAACTCGATGACAAATAGAATGAGCACCCTCCGGAGGTGGATCCCCAAAAAAGGTTTTCCAAGAGGTTTTTGAAAATCCTTTTTTCCAAATATGCTCGTTATATTTTATACAGTATTTGAGAATATTTTATGCACAAATTTAGAATTTTTAATGCCTTTATATCAAGTATAAATAGAAATGTAAAGTAAAATACAGAAAAAATCTATCAATCGTCGTTTATATTGTCGTTTGATACCCGTCGATGTGATTGAATAGATGCACTACACAGTTGGCTGAAGAATAGTTTTAACACATCACCATATGATTGTCCTTGAGAATATGCTTCAATTGTATTCCAGAAACGGCGAAATAGCTTCAGTGCAATTTTCCTTTCGACAAAATATGCACGAGATTCTGATATTAATTTTATCATTTTTTCGAAGCTTTGATCTGTGCGTGAGCGAACGAATGCTTTTTGACTACACTAGAGACCCTCAATTGTTCTTGAGATTGAACTAAAAATACTAAAATTCGGATAGAAAATCTTCTTCAAGATCAAATTAACCTGAGTCAAAGAGAAAAACAACAACAACAGATGGTATTAAAGAGTAAAAATAACTTTTAATCACTTTGAGTTTCAATAAATAATCGACATTTCAATTTGAAATAAGATAAAACGAAAAAAGAACACCCGTTATTATTTTTAACGCAGTGAAATTCGACAAATGGTGGAAAAAAGATAAATTTCTCTTTTGTTCTCGATTTTACAAAATTATTACTAAATGACAGTAAATCTGTTAAATTCTTAATTTAATAACATAAATAGGTCTATAGAAACAGAATTCAATTGAAATCATTCAACAAACAGAGGAGGGTGAGGGTAATGGATCTATCTTCTATTTCCGCTCACACCCACGTTATTTGTACGCAAATATCCATATAGTTTTACTACAATCGGTGTAAGAAACCGAAATATTATAGTTAAACCACCATATACACCAAATAAGGTATTAATAATATCAAGAGTGTTCTTACGTTGACTGAACGAGTATTTACACCATAAAGGTGCACAAATAGAAAAGTAACTAGTATAGTTGACAGCCGTCTTCCATTCTTCAACAAAAAGCTCATCAATTAGATTTCCAATTGGTATTGTCATGTTTCGAACTAACGATGCATTAAGAGAAACGATATCGAATTTCGTTTGATCAATAGCTAAATCAACAAGTAATTGAGTAAGACAAGCCGATTGCGCAAAGCATTCAAATGTTGATAAACGTAATCCATCAATAGCTAAACAACCTCGAAGTAAACCAGGATATGATGTATTCATCGAAAACATTAATGATGTTGAGCACACTGATAAACGATCGCATGAGCAAGAGAGTGAACTATTTCCGATCGGAAATGTACGAGGAACTGTATTGATTAAATATTGTTCTTTAGCATTTGTCAGTTTAATCTGCCAGTTAGACGAAAGCATGTTCATAAATTGATTTGCTCGAAAGTTTTCAACAATAAAAGTAAGTGTATGTTGAAAATCAAGTGATGTGTGCTTAAGAAATGTAGTAATGATAGTATTTGTTTGGTCTACAAAGACATTTTGTGGTATTACTTGGAAAATGATGAGTTTATTAGCAGCCAATATATCTATAGCATTATCAATTGTATTTTTAGTTACTTGACACATCGATGAGAGAAGTCTCATGTGAGTACTGAAAAGTGATTCATCTGAATCAGTATGATTATTAAAGACATTTTCCCACCATGGAGTCGTAACAAAAGCACTTGAGCATATGATATGTCGAACGGATGAAATTGACACAAACATACTGTACGGTACGGAGTTTTGTGAACAAGGACATTTAAGAGAGAAAATATTAGTTTGTTGATACAATGCATTCACGATGGATGCATTCGGTGTGGAAATAGTTTCTGTATATGTTTGTTGCTGAAAAGTAAAAAATAGAAGAATAGAAATGAGACATCCGTACAATAAGATAAAATAGAGACGAGTTGCTGTGCGTTGCATAATAATAGTCATTGTTGTCACTTTTGAAAACACATTTATCGACCATAATGCTGAACATAGTCTTACAAATTTTCTTCGCAAAGGTACTTCAGCAACTAAAATGACTGTTCTTTGATTGGTAGATCTAATACTAAGACATTTGAAGATTATTTTCATTCCAACTGGTACAGTGAGTCGTAAACAGAGAGTCAGACCTGTCCAAATACCGATCAGATTAGCGATCATGTGAAGTATATCAAATCCACGAGTGTATGTATAAGTACATTCAGTAGGTGCACACTGTTTATAATATTTTTCATAATTACTCAACGTTATCCATTCTTCAATAAATAGTTGACCTGTAATTATGTCAACAGTAGTATTAGGTAAAAAACGACTTTTTATATAGGGATTGAGAGTAGAAATATTTAGTGTAGCACGTTCCAGTGGTTTTATAACAGTATCACNTTTGAAGTGTCGATACTCAATAATCAAGTCAATTCTTATCGAAGATGTGTCAGACATTACGGCATTGGTGGCAGATGAAATTAGAACAAATGATTTCAAACATGATTTAGCACGACTCAAAAGTGAAAAATTCACCATAACCTACAGTGAATGGACAAAAAAGAAAAATGAAGGATCTCACATGTTTATTTCAACAAAAACGACAATCACATCTCCTATTTGTGATTTTGTCGACAAATTTACAACTGAAATTGAAGTATGTTCATATTTCTTGACTGATAAAGAAAGATGTAACCTAAAAAATACTATTTACAATTAATGTAAATTGCTGACATAAATCATTTTCAAATGAAAGATAAATACTCATTTTTGAGCTTATCACTATGAAAATGACAGTGAGTTCTATTTTTCATTCTTGTAGGACTTAGAAAAAGCATATTGATCGGGTGCGTCAACAATTTCGAGCAGTAAAGAAAGCAAGAGAAGTCGCACTTGAAGAAGAAAACGTTGCTACGATACAATTGGATTGGTCAGAGAATTACAACTTAAAACAAGCACGCCAGGAGAAAGGTGAATAGCTGAGCACTAGATTTTATCTTGATGCTTAATAATGATATACTCAGAACAGTTTTACTTTGCTCAAGATTGTTTGTAGACTTCAATGTTTTAAAGATCATTATTTCATAATATATATTCTTTTAGCTTCTTATTACTACGAACAACTTATATCGATACTCAGTGGTTATGTATGGATGAAAGATGGTTGTTATAGCTTTGGTTCGGTGTCTGACGATACTAATCGCATGTTCGAAGCAACGTGGACAGGTTTACAACCGATTTTCGACAAGTTAAAAAACAATCCGTCAAGAATTACAACGATTATTTTCATATCTGATTCTCCAGTTTATCAGTTTCGCAACAAAACCACCTTCTTTTTCTTAAAACAATATGCTGCAACTAATCAAACTACGATGAAATGGATTTATTTGGAGGCAGGTCACGGTAAGGGAGTGGCGGATGCATCGGGTGCCACGATTAAACGATTGATGGATCAAACTGTGGCATTTCATCCTGACGAGTCTTACAGAAACGCAACTGATTTGATCAATGAAGTCAAGAAGAAGACCAATATAAAGCTTTTCACATATTCACGAGAAGAAATCGATTCTTTGAAGAAAAATATACCTTCTTTAACAGCTATCAAGGGTGCGGCATCGCTTCACGAAGTCACAGTCAAACCAGATGGTGCAGTATATGGCAAAGACACTTCTTTTGGTACAGAGCGACTGCTGGAACTCAACTTTTGAATTGAAACCAATTCTCCGAACTATTCACTGTTTTACTCTATCTGACTTGTTTTTAGCGATATTCTACCGAAATTTGAAATTCCTACTGATGATTTTATTTATTCACTTGCTGCTTCTTTTAAAACAAACTGTATTTCTGATCTATTTTTGGATTTTACCATTAAACTACAACACGATTCTGGTTGACTTGCGATGTAAATAGGAAAAATAAGTTTTTCTCGTGATGAAGAGACTTCCTATGAGAAATATGCGATTATCAACACTTTTACACCTGTTTAAACAAGAATTCTACATATAGGTAGGACGAGAATATGTGCCATTTCACGTACAATAGTACTTTCGTATGTAACGAGAATGAATTTTCTCAAATTCGAAAGCACAAGGATGTGAAACATATAAGTCAAAAACTAATTTGGACAGTTTTCACAATTTTCGAAAAAGTCTTGTACTTCGGCTATTTTAAGTACAACTGTCGGAAAACTTTGTACATACTCTAATCTCACCTACTACTATACGATACACTATTCGTCGTACCGAAATGCGAAACATTTTTTTTTCGAGTTTTTTCGATCAAACGTTACAAAAACCTTGCAATTAGCTCATATACAGAGTCTCATTTGGTCTTACTGAAATTGTCTTTCTTTTAGAAAAAGGAGGACATGTTTAAAAGTGCAAATCCATAATAGTCATTTATAGCGAACTTCTGCTTCCTGTGAAGAGTGATTGTCAGTCAGGAATATAGAATAATTAAAAGCAGCACAAGTAGTCCTTTGACTCTTTTGAGGACTGTGAGGCGAATGGAGATCAGTCTCTGGGGACCCTTTCAAAGGTTATACTTCTGTCTTTTTTTTGCATAAAACGCACATAAGACTATTTTATTTTCAGTCAGTGGTTCAGTCGAGGGCATAGCGAGTCTGCCTCGACGAGCGTTACTAGTATGATGATCGATATATATTCACATGTTTTCCATCATATTGGGAGTTCTGATGCTGATTAATTAAATTTCTTCTACTCGCAAGATGTACTTTTGTCTTACCAATAAATAAAAAGATGTACAACCAAGTTGAATATTTTTGTTGTTTTAAAGCGTTTGATGATTGTTGAGTTTCAACATTTTGATCGCTATCTTCTTCAGATGTAAACAGATTATAATGGTGAATATAATTGTGAAACCAATGAAATAGTGCTTTAACACGCATTTTTGTTGTGGAATAATGGTGATTATCAATAATCAGATGTTGTTTTCAAAATCTTAACAAATGCTCTACATAGTTTCACAATACTTAATCTAGAAAATGTTGAATAGTATTTCTTCAACTTCATCCTTGTGTTGTTCCATCTGCGCGCCTATTTACCATTTTAGTCAAATATACGTGTTTCCTTCTTTTTTCACAAGTCATCAGAATAATAGAGCTACATGGAGACTTAAGCTTAAAATCAGAGAAAAGAAATTATTTGACATTTGTTGCTGAATAATTTAGGTATATATCGAATTGTTCGTCGTCGTGAGAAAAACTGTTTTATAAAGAAGACTTTTCTTTCTCTAGTAAAAGATTGTTTAACATTTTACTGTGAGTTGAATATATTAATTAAATCATCCTTAATAGACAATAAAATGGACTGTTTCTTTCTTACAAAAACACATGTGTAGTCGGTAGCTGTATATTCTCAATAGAAGTAGTAATATTGGAATTCTTATATATCTAGATTGTTAGTTAAATTTCATCTATGAAAATAATTTTAAAAAATATGCACGGTCACCGTTCAAGGGAGCATGGACAGCCCCGCCCTCAAATTGAAAAACTAAAAGCTGTTTGTGACAGACATTCTTTCTACAAGCTTCGTATACCTACATTTCGACGAAAAGTTCTATAACATTTTTTATGTAAGATCCTATATCTCGAAAAAGTATCGCAATGAAAAGTGTGTTTCTGCCAAACTTTAATCTTCCTCACTTTCACAAGTAATCGAGAAGTCTGAACATGTACAGTACCCGCCATAAGTGGACCCGACGTATTTTTCATACTTAATAATGATCTTTCATTTATCTTTTCTCTTTGTCAGAACGAACTAGTCGTGTACATTAGCTCATATAAATAGGAATGCTTGTATACGTTCAGCTATCAATTGACAGAATAATAAAAAAATGAACATTTCTACGAAGAAAAGATGGGAAATTATCTTTTTATCAACGCACAAATTTGGCCCATATATGTCAAATGTTGATATAGCACAATATTTGAGAATCAATGAGTCAACTGTATGATTCTGGCTTGGAAGATATGAAGTAATCGGTGATGTGAATGTTGAACAAAAAGCTGGTTGAAACGTGTAACAACGGAAAAACAAGATGAGGAAATTCAATCGATGGTAGCTAAATATCCAAAAGAGTCTGTAGGTCAAATTGCATTTAGATTATCAAAGAAAAGTATAAACGTTAGTGAGACAACATTACGAAGAAGATTCAAAGAAGCTGGTGTACAATCGGTGAAGCCAGCTTCCGAGCCATTATTAACAAACGATCATATGAAGGAAAGATTCCAATGGGCTCTACACAGCATCGTAATGCTGAATGGGACCAACTTGTTTTTACAGATGAAAATTCGTTTCATATGAAACAGGTGATAAAACGTATATGGAAAAAGTGTGGTGAAGAATATTATGTTACAACGGTGAAGCATTCTGTTAAAGTTCACGTTTGGGGTTGTTTTAGTAAATATGGATTTGAAAAATTAGTTTTATTCAAGCAAACGTTAAATTCAGAGTTGATGTGCAAAATCTACAAGAATGGGCTATTACCATCGGTAAACAGGTGGTTTGATGATAATAGCTGTGATTGGAAACTTTTAGAAGACAACGATCCGAAACACACTTCGAAAATGTGTAAACGATACAAGATTAACAATGAGATACAGTTATTACCATGGCCCTCGCAATCTCCCGACTGTAATCCGATCGAAAAATGTTTGGGCTTTAATGAAGCTCAAAATAAACAGACACCCACCTACATCAGTCAATAATTTCTACAGACGAATAAGAAAAAGAATGGAAAAATTTACCTACTGAATTTGCTGAAAATTTGATCGATTCAATGAAGAATCGAATAGCACTATTAATTCAGAGAGAAGGCGACTACATTAATTATTGAGATGATGTACACATAATCTAGATTCTGTAAATAAAATATTAAGAAATGACTCTTTTGTCTTGTTAATTTTTTTCCTCGGGTCCACTTATGGCGGGTACTGTATATAATAAAAATAATTTTAAAATGAAAAGAAGAATGCGTTAATGAATTAATTCACAGATGGCAATATTATTCATAACGATAAACTTAGCGATCGTTATCGTTTTTCTCTTTTCTGAAAGAAAGGGTTATAGCGTTCTAAATCTGGTCGATAAAATGCTAAAAATTTGTGAGTTTGTCCAATCCAATCAGATTGCAGCAATTTACAAACTGATGAAACCTTCTTGATGACCAGCCGGAAACGATTCAACTGAGATAATCATGGTCGAGGATCATGAATCCGTGGTTAGTTTCTTCTTATTCACCGGGCTTCGGCTACTTTATTGCTCTTTCCAAAAAGGATACTTTTCTTTATCTTTTCTGGAAGGTAGTGGGATGAACGGTATTCATGGATGTGATATGTACCAAGATGTAGTGCAGGAGCTTACACTAAAAGATTTAACTCTGAAACGCCCACCTGGGGCCCAAGCGGACCCCAACCAGTTTCATTCTAATGTTTTACATAAACGATCATAGATCATATCACCCCACTCTAGGTATGCTCCAGTGAAGAATAGTAGAGTATACTATAGAAAGCATTCACTCAGTTCTTTTAGTTATCTATGAGATAAAGTACCTCAAAGTGCTTATATACGCATATTGCCCACCTGGGGTCCAATCGGACCCCATAATATAACATTGGGTTTCTCTTAATATTCGAATATAAATTTTTCATTCTCATACTTTACGCATCTGTCCGCCTCTATGAGAGTATTTTAGACCTATATCATAAGGTGTAAAGTATATCAATCGTTTGACAACGCTATATTGGATATATTTGAGTATTCTCACGAATCGTCTGTTATCATTTGAAATAATTTTGTCTGTAATGAAAAACTTGAATATTTCCATGAAGAAGACTTTTGTACAATGCTATCCTACATACATAGTTTCTTTTTTCCTCCTATTGATATGACGTCATGTCATGATACATGCATACGATATGTATATCTTATTCCGTTCTTTGATCATACGTGAATACATACGTCATTTGTCTGGTATGTTCAATCCTCAATGGAATGAAAAGAAAAACTACCGTCGCCGTCTATTTCTAATGGAATTAGGTTATGATCTTGTTCAATCACATTTAGACGGACGACGACAGCAACCACATGCACTTCAACAGAATGTTCGAATAGCCATACAAGCACTTGGACTCACTGGTACTACTTCACATCCAGTTATTGTTTCGGCATCTACTGGCAAGCAACATTGTCATCTTTGTCCAAGAGAACGTGATCGAAAGGTTCATACTCATGGTTCAAGTTGTAATGCTCCTTGTTGTCCAGTTCATCATACAGTTATTTGTACTATGTGTAACGAAACACTATCAGGATAAGTGCGGACTATAAGAAAATGTTTCAGAAATAAAAGATAGAATAACGAAATATAGATCCTTTCCTATAAGAAACTAAGTCTATAAGATGCAACTTATATATAACATAATGCTACTATAGTATACTACTTAAGACGCGTACTATATGTATCTTATTGAGTTAGGGTTCGTGCGGACCCCCGGTGGGTAATAAGTGGTAGTCCTATAAGTGGGCGTATGAGAGTTAATTAATACCCGTTAATTAACTCAAATTAAATTCAATGGTCCACCCCTATTCTCAACCGTTCTTTACTAGAACGATATAGAATGCATTCCAACATGACAAATGGTGTGTTTTCTAGGGGGAAAAAGCATTCCAAAAACAACTGGAATCCATTCTCTGCCGTTCCTTGTGGAACGAATTCTCATTTTTTAGGGAACAGTTTTTTTCTTAAAAAAAGTAAAATTTTCTTTTTGGAACGCGACCTTAGGCGTTCTTTGTCGACGAAATTTTTTCGTTGGCTATACGATGAAACAGAAGATATTATAAAGTACTAAGTNTTTTTTAGGGAACAGTTTTTTTCTTAAAAAAAGTAAAATTTTCTTTTTGGAACGCGACCTTAGGCGTTCTTTGTCGACGAAATTTTTTCGTTGGCTATACGATGAAACAGAAGATATTATAAAGTACTAAGTACATATGTACTACAGTACTAGTACATGGTACGATTGTACTTAAGTAAAATGTACTCAAGCACAAGTACAAGTACGTTAAGTCCAGTACATATTGAATGTACTTGTACTACAAAAAAGTACGAAAATACTTAAGTACTGTACTAAGTATCCAATCACTGATTATGGGATTCTGCCGTTAAATAGCGATGGTATAGTAAATAATATTGTTAGTTCTATTCTATGGAATCATTTTGGCAAAAAGATGGTTTAGATCCTCAACAAAACATGTTGGTTTGCTACAGACAATACTACGAGATTCACAGGTACTTTTTAATCATAAAATGATTAAATTCAACGTTAGTAGGCATTAACAATGGTGTTTTAGCGAAGCTACAGTGTGACTATGGTTTCGGTTTTGTCGAGTTGAACATTTGCGTTGCATATTCCTTTGCACTGGTTGGTAGTCAAGCTGGATTTATCAAAACCGGTAGGAATTGTCAGATTTCATTTGCTGAATGCAATGAACAAGCAAAGAATCGTGATTTGATCTCGAAATTGGAAAATATCATCAGAAAGATCTATCTATGCTTTGGTTCAGATACAACTCTAACGTCAAAGCTGAAATTTAAACGATTGTTCCACATACGATAAACATCTATTTGAGATTCGATAAAATCCTAATATTGAACCTTATGTCAAGTAAATTTAGTTGAGTTTTCTTTTTCCTTATTCCTTTACGGCCGGATGCTGCCATTTGGCAACATTTTACTGATGTTAATATTATAAGTTTTTTCTTAAAACGAAGAGATATAGTTTTTCATGCCATTCGATAAATAACTACCCATATTTTAGCACAAATATATGTATTTGCTAGAGAGAAGTAATCTTCTGTTGGCGAATGGGATCAATTCTCCCGAAACGTCCAGAAGAGCTCCCGAATGGTAAAGATCTTCTTATCGCTTATTCAAGCATTGTATATGAGAAGTGACTAGCGCTTAATTTTCGCCTCTAACCCTATTATCTGCTAAGAACATAACATGGATTAATTAGGATTCTCAAATAACAAAATTTGAGTATGTTGCCATTTGGCAACATCCGGCCGTAAAGTTACAAAAAAATTTAAAAAGCTAGTTATTTTTTTCATAGATGGGCAATAATTTGATGACAGTTCTATTTTATATTGTCAAAATAAAGTAT